ATTCACCGCAAATACAGTAGAAAAAAAAGCGTATATACAATGTAGTTGTTTAATATTTAGAGAATAATCAATTGAATTTATATTTATAGTATATCACATATTTTGCCCGAGTGACTTCGAAAACGCTACAATTTCGACATTAATATTACTCACGACCATGATCAATTGTTGAAATAATAAAACATTTAATAAATAGAAATAAATTCATTACAAAGAAGTCGGTAGAGTTTGATTTGTATCGAAATGTAATCCGGCTGTAAATAAATGTATTTATAGTTGAAGGCACTCATCAGCAAAATCGTTTATACTGAATGAAATTACAAATTTACACGGCATTAAACTCATTAGGTACTTTTTATAAAGTTTTAATAATTTATTCTAGTCTCGTTAGAATTTTCCTCGAGAAAATCTTTCGTCCAAATATTGTGCTTTGTGAATAATGGCATTCTTCTGATCCTGATCAAATCGATTAATTTGCAAGTCAATATCTCTGTCAAATGGTCTTCTAATTATCTGCTGCCCAGTTGCTTTTGCTTCTTTTTCTTCTTTCTAAAATTTATATTACATTTGTTACAGATTAACGATAAAAATATATAATGAAATTATCGAACAAAAATATGTACCCTTTTTTTCTTTCGAAGTTTATTTTCGTGTATTTCTAAAAGTGACTTTTCACACTTTTTATTTGGTCTACATTCGGCTTGATCATTCTCTTCGGATAGCTCTCTAATCGACGTTTTAACGTCGCATAATTTTTCTTCCTCCTAAAATGGATAAAATATTTGTCCAACATGACCTGTCAGACATATCTGGACCTTCCTTAATCCTAAATTTTCGTGAAGTTAGCCCTAAATTATTAGTTTGAGTCGGAGGTAATTCAATCATCCATTCTTCCCGCTGATTCAGTGTACTATATTTCTGAAATATTATTTGTTATATTCCAGCCTTTGAATACTGCCAACAACGAATTACAATTTACAATTACCTCGTCCTTTTGTTCACTTTTAATTCGCTGCGCTCTTTCTTCCAATTGCTTGTACACGTAGTTACTTTCTAGCGCTGGATGATTAGCCGGTAACGGGCCTATCCCATCTTCATCTTCGGATTCTGTTTGATTCACTTCGTTATTATTCAATGACTGTATGTTATTTGGAAATGTGGGGCCTATGATTTTCGTATTTGTTTCGTCATCGTTGTTACATTTCGTCTTTAGTAAATGCGGTGGTAATGCTGGACCAAAAATAATATCCGAATCTGAGGCAGAATCTTCTTGCATTACATTGCTTTCATTAATATTATTCAATGTGTCGTCTTCTTCGTTTTTTTCACTTGTTTCCTGTGCATCGTTCTTTGGTAAACAAGGTCCTATAAAATGTGTATCTCCTTCCGATTTCGTATCATTGGAACTGTTAGTTGCTAACTGCGGCGGTAAAATCGGTCCATACGTTGTATTTATTTTAGCATGCATATGAGATGAGAATATTGCGATGTCTGTTGCTTTTACAGTGTCATAATTATTAAGATGCAAGGAAGTTTTTACAGTAGAAGTCAAATTTTCTTCCTTATTATTTGAATCAATTGTGTTTTGCCTTGATTCCGTCAGTATAGGCGATGCGGTACCTAATGAGGAATCTGAAATGGTACCAGAATTATTATTACTGGAACCATATAACGCGTCATTCTTCCTTGCATTTACCTTTGGCGATCCTTCCACGCGTTTGATTTCTATCACTTGCTTTTTTGACGAATTCTCATATTCGTTACTTAAATGTCTTTTCTTCGTATTGTGTTGCCGTGAATATGAATTCTTACTTTTTATATCTGAACTATCCGACATATTTTCATCCGTCTCCGATAGAATATCAAATTCAGATAAATTTAATTCATTGTACTCTTGACTATCCACTGAAAAATCTTTTTTTGTTAGTAATTCATTACCGCTCTGACCCTGTCCTACATTCTTCGGCGAAGGGTATTCTTGTAAGCGTTGTCCTTCGTCTTCTTTCGTCGGCAACTTTTTATGCGTACTATGCCTTTCGGATTCTCCTCGAAACTTACCATGGTCTAACGACCTCATTTTATACGATTGGTAGCTTTTATCGCGAGTATGATGCTTGTACTTTTCGTGAGGTTTACTTCTATGTTTGTCATTTTGAGATCTATCATTCTCGTTCCTGCTACGACTTCGTTCTTGAGACCTGTTGTTTCGATGCTCATTTCGATCTCGATTTTTGTGCCGTTTCGTATCTCTTGTCTTATATTTTGTATCCGAGCTGACATCTCTCGCATTTCTATGATCTTTGTTGTCCTCGCGCCTTGAGTTTTTTGATTCGAGAGAATGCTTCGAATATTTGGTAGAATATTTAACATCCCTATTATCAACGTCTCGTTCTTTCGAAAGTCTGTGTTCTCCTCTACTACAATTATGTTTAAATTTGTCCTTTTTATCTTCGTGCTCTATATTATTGTGGCTGGATTCTTGTTCCGACTTTGATCTCGACAGTTTTTCTAATTTTGCGTCTGGTCGCACGTTATCTTTACGGGTGGCTTCAAACCGAAACCGTCGTCCATCGTCACTGTCCTGACTCTCCGAATCGGAGTCCATGGTTGTCATAATTAGTTACTCGCTGAAAGTAGCACAAATTTAATTTTTTATATATGTATGCACAATTTTTCTAGTTGGCAGAATGGAGCAGTATTTTATGAAAGTATTTTCGAACATTAAGAGGCGTTAATTAATACCTAGGAAAAACAGTTACAATTTGACTAGATGAAAACTTTATTTAAAACACAGTTTTATAAAATATGGTACATATGACAGAATTAAAGTATGAGTAAAACAGATGTAATCGCTATTCTATGCGTTTGTCCGTTTCTTTCGATTGTGTCTGATTCTTTACACTTGCTACTATTCTTTCAACTTTACTTTCACTTGATTCTATCTTTTGCTGGGGATTTATCTGTGGACTTGTTTGTATCATCTTCATTATTTTTGCTGCACTGTACTTAACAGACTTCAGAAATCCAGCAGTGATAATTCCCTTCAAACTTTGCATTATACTGGACCTCCATACAATTTGTTTCAAGCATTCCTCCAATATTTCACCGCACTCTGGGTCATAAGCGATTGCACATAAGCAATCTTCTGTATCTTTTGATCTCGGGCCTTGTGTCCATGCCCTGACCAGTTTAACTTGTGGTATCCTAGGTAACTGATTCAAATGATATATTTTTGTTGTAGGATTTGTATCTTGATGACATATGACAGCCATCTTTTCTGACTTTGGAATATCCACATAATTTTCAAAATGTTGCAAAATTGGACTGTACAACTCTCTGAAATATGTCAGTTGGAACAGAACAATGTTGTTAACTTTTTCTTTATTTTCACCAAAAGTCATTCGAAAATCACCACTGTAGGATAAACCAGCTATAGTTTTATAAAAGTCAATCTCTGTAAAATGTTCTGGCAGCAATAGTAATGCTGCATGAACAGCTGAATGTAAATTTTGTATTAAAGCTGTAGGTAATTGAGAATGTTCATCTGGTTCCACTAATACTTTAACTGGTTTGTGTAGCCTTCCTGCTAAGTACATATCATTCCAATCTAATAAATCTTCTATTAGCGAAACTTCTGAAATTATTCCATATTTGATAGTATATCCTCCTGGTATTTTGATCAATGTATTATAATACACCTTAGCACCCCATGTCTCTTGTACATTTGCAATTGCTCTGGGCCCAAGAAATCTCAAGGGTTGAGCATAATGCTTAGGATTAAGTTGCAAATTTTCTGCATGCCATTGGTTTACATTACGAACAACAAATATAAGGTCTACCATATTGTTAGATTGATTATTCATTTGCTTAAATGCACCAGATCCATATGCAAAGCAAAATTTTATATTTCTTGGAAAACATTTAAGTATTCCTTTTAGTTGTTGAATTCCTATGAACTTTTCCATTCTATTGATATAATAATAGTACAATATCAACTTCTATATAATACCACTCAATATCTTTAATTCTGCATAATACTCTTTACCCTCAAATCAAATATTCAATGTGAAATATTTAATCTGATTATCATAGGTGTTATTTTTTTTTTCTTTCTTTCTTTTCATAAAAATATAATTAGAGTACAGTTGATTTGTTTTGTACTATTAAATTTTTATAGACACAATGGAAAGGAAGAATACAGTGTTGCAGAATAACATAAAGAAGCGGCTTGAAGTGAAACAAATATTTTCCTTCCCAAATCTTCCGACAGTTTCGACAAGAAAGGTTGCAAATTTTTGGAAATTTATAATCAACTGCGCCCTTTATTAATCGAGATCCATTCCGTCTAACCTAAAATATTTTCTCATGAATTGTATAATCAATATACATACTTACTTAAAATCGACGCAATACCCTATACCGATGATTTAATATTATGCAGCAGCTTTAATGATATATTCAATTTAAGATAAACGAGAGTAAACAAACGTCAAATTATACAACATAACATCTTGTAGCGCTATTCATCGACTTCAGAAACACATGATTGCTTGAAGTAATCTGTTTCATATGGATAGATAGAAGAATCGTGAATTTTCTGTTCAGTAGTTTCATTGGATTTGACCTACTAACTACTTTAGTATATTATTTCACTTTGTTTAACCATTTTAACACATTTTTACAATTATTTTCATATACATTTCTATATTTCTATCGTAATTAAACGTGCAATTTTAAATCGTCTCCTTATAAGTGTATTTCATTACGTTTGGCATCATATCTACCTAGAATTTTGTCATCACCCTAGTGTATTTTTTGGTGCTTTCATGCTTTGGCACAATGTGATCGTTAACTTTACATCGACTACATGCCTCTTCTAGATTTATAATAATTTACAAAGCAATCTTTTGAAGTGTACACATCTAGTTACATTTACACACGCATAATTTTGACAATGTTGAATATATGTAGTTGAACATAATTGTAAAGAAACGTATGAGCAAACTAAAATCTTCAGATTGAACGGCTGACGTCGTTTAAACAAGGAACGTTATTTAAAAATACTACTGGAATACCACAACAAAGAAATTCATTTTGATTAAGAAATAGGTATTGTATAGAAAATCATGTCAATAGACTGCGATATATATATTGCGTAGTTTACTAACTAATAAGTTTATGCACGTGAAGTACAATACAAACGACTAGAAATAGAAATTAAACAGCATGGAGGTTGACGAAAATAACGCAGCGGTTTCAACGGATACCCCGATGGAAGTGGACGATGATACTGCTGGAAAAAATAGTAGTACATCAGTGAATCCTCCTAGTGCTATTAAAGTAATGGCATCTTCGGGAACTGTTGGTTCTGTTTCTATTAGTCTTCACCCTCTTGTCATAATGAATGTTAGTGAACATTGGACTAGACTTCGTGCACAAGAAGGAACAGATCAATTAGGTATATGTTTCGTACCAATTGTTATTTTCCCTCTTTGTAATTTAATTATCGTTTTAGTTTATGGAGCATTAATTGGTAAACAGAAAGGACGCAATATAGAAATCATGAATTCTTTTGAATTAATGTTTACATGCATTGGAGATGATGTTATAATTGACAGAGATTATTATAACACTAAGGAAGAACAGTTTAAACAGGTATTTAGCGAAATGGATTTTCTTGGATGGTATACTACAGGAGACATGCCCAATGAAAGAGACATTAGGGTGCACAAGCAACTTTGTGAAATTAACGAAAGCCCTGTATTACTGAAGCTTGATCCAAGACCAAAAAACACAGATGTATGTATTTAGAATCACTACTTTTTCCTTCTGTATGATTTGTTTAATAAAATGTTATACATTACAGCAACTCTCTGTTTCTATGTATGAATCAGTGATTGATTTGGTTAATGGAGAAGCTACAATGTTATTTGTTCCATTGACTTACACATTGGCCACAGAGGAAGCAGAAAGAATTGGAGTAGATCATGTAGCAAGAATGTGTAGTAATGACCAAGGGGAAAGTTCATTGGGTAATATCAGGAATATTCAATTAAGTTCTATTTTTATGTAGTTCAAGTAATGTAAGCAAAATAGGATTTAAACTGATAATTTATAACAGTGGCAGAACATCTTACTGCACAGCACAGTGCTATAAAAATGTTGCATTCAAGGGTGAAGTTAGTTCTGAAATATGTACAAGCAGTACAAAATGGAGAATTAAAAGGGAATCATGAAGTTTTAAGAGCAGCCTGTTCTTTGGGACATAGATTACCAGTTTTAAATAATCAGAAATTCAAAGCTGACTTTTATAATGTAAGTGCATTATTTGTGCATTATTTTCAGAAAAATTATTTATTTAAATGCTTAAGATACTCCATAATTTATCTTTTTAGCAATGCAATGACTTTGGTTTGATGACTTACCTTGGTATTATAACAAAAAGTTGCAACAATATTAACCAATTTGTTAATAAATTCAATATTTTGTATGATAGACAAGGTGTAGGTCGTCGTTTGCGAAGTCTTTTCTTGTGATAAGTGAACAAGATTCATTGTTTCTTTTATACTTGTCTCTTTTTTACTCTATAAATTATAACGAATACTCTTAGAATTTGCGAATTTCAATGCGGTAAATTTATTAATTGGTGAATAAATTGAATACTGTAACAGATATTGTACCTCTTAAAAATAAACTTACAAGAGAAAAAGAAAAGGTTGCAACGTTTGAGTTTAACATTTAAGGATAAGCAAGTTTTATACTGCTATCGTTATATAAATTTATTGATACGTGCTTCGTACTTATACTTTTTGAATATATAACATACATACGAAGAAGTTTGAGACACAGTCTACGTAATATTGTTCAAAATAAAACGTACATCGGGAATATACAAATGGTTGATACAGATGTAGTCGCGCGTTTTCTTTTTTTTTCAATGGAAGACATCTCGTAGTCGATATATTTTTTTTTTATTTCTCTATTTTCAGAGGCCACGTTACTTTCTCCTTATATATTCGATTTGTATCATTTATATAATTTGTTTCCGTATAAATTATACTCGTAGATATAAAAAAGCGGCCTATAAAATACGACTAAAAGTCTTTTTCTAAAAATCTATTCGATTATTACATATATTTTGGCTTGACATATATAACGACTTATAAATATTATACTGTACAAAATATAGTATAATATATTGTGCCTCCTTAATTATTGCAGGTAACTGTACCGAGTTACGTATTTCACACACACACGCACACACGCGCACGCACGCACGCACACAAAATGTATATATAAAAGAAAAGAATTGACTTTAAATGGCTAGAACTATTGAACTTGTATAAATTTCATTGTAGCGATATTTGATATTACCTGTACAATATGATATTCTTTAAAAAGTACTTAAATTTCAACTTCTATTTTAGTGGATTTCTTTGTACATTGAATTGTGCGATTCTGTTTGATATTGCATTGATATGAAACATTAAAACCACAAAAATCCATGTTGCTGTTTTTGATTCATATAAATGTTAAAAAATTAAAAGTTTTTTTTTCTTCGTGAGATTGCCCACAAGTAATTTTTGAAGTACATTTTACTTTCACAAATTGCATCGTTTGTTGTACTATTTTCTTATTATCTTCAAGTATTCAATTGGCTGTCTTCGATCATGGTAGCAAGGATATCTACCAGAACAGACAGCATTGAGTCGGGCTAAGGACTTGGTTTATCCATACCAATTATCTCCTCAAAGAGAGTATTTCGTCCTTCTGTTCTTTCTTCGATAGTGTGTAATGCAAATCTTAATGTTGCCGCGGCTAAGTCACCGACCGACCAATGTCTATCCATGAGGACTCTGCATACAGTATCTAACTGCAAAATCATCGATAATCGGTATAATTGATTAAATACGAAAATTGAACAATAGTAACAAATGACATATAAAGTTGATACAGGGTAATGCAGTATTTATGGTATTATTACCTTAGATAAACTGGGATTTCCTGTAGTGTAATATATTAACTTTGGCACTCCTGCCAAAGAAGCGGCAAGCCATTGAATAACAAGCTTTAACTGTGGGTTACCTTTTAAACGGGATCCGCATCCCCAGTTCCCTGTAGCGATGGATAATAATCCCCCTGTTTGTGGACTACTGTCCCTCGGTATCTAAAACAAAACAGAGTTGCGTTAGATTGAAATCTGCGCGATAATAATACACACGAATCATTCTATCTTGAGCGATGCTTATTAGTTGTACTTAAATCGCGTTTCAACAACCATACAAAATTGTTAAATTTTAGGCATTGTTATTGTTGAAAATATAAGAAGCTATATCAATATAAAAGTTACATTATATTAATGAAAATAAAGAGAGAGAGATGTATATGTGTATACATATGTGTATGTATGTACGTATATCAAAACATTATCAGATAGAATGAGAGACAAATGATTAGTTATTGGAAATACAGTTAAAAAATATTTTAAGATATATATATATATATAAAGCATATGTTTTTAATGTATCATGCAATGAGTAATTAAGCTTAAAGAATATTTATCGTTATCGTATTAAAAGGTAATTAATTTGTGGTATCGTTACATGCATTATATTTACGAAATAGAACGAACATATTTGTAAGATAAGTTTGCTCACATTAAGTGTTATATGCGATTCGAATTCTGGCAGAATTTGATCATTTCTGATATCGAAGGATTGTGTTCTGTTTATTCCTTTTACAGTTCCAGATGTATTTAAATTAACACGATTAGATAGATACACGGTAGTTTCATCGTCAACCAATGTTTGAAAAACTTCGGACGTAAATGTTACCGTCCTTAGTTTTCTACGTTGAATATCCTTTACCTCTTTTGATACTGTACGATTATTTAAAGCATCTTCATAATATTCTATACCTTCAGACTCAGACACCTGCATAGCGTAATGAACTGATGAGATTTGGCTATATACATATTTCTATAAAAGATTATCTAAATTCTTCAGTTTGTCTCTCATTCTTCGTCGATAGAATAATTGCAAGTGAAAACTGTACAGCTTATAGTATTAGAATCGTTTCTTTGTACTGTTTTGTATTATTTCGCAGGAAGATAAAATAATTTTGATTCGAAAGAAAAGAAAAATATCTCGTTTCTTACTGATTGCTGTCTCCTATTTTTTTGACGGGCTAGCTCTAAACTTAAACTTCTTACAGCCAGAGCTAACTTGTGGCTTTGATTTACGTCGGTAGAATCGATAAAAGGTTGAGGTTCACCCTCTTGAACGGGAACGCCAGCAAACGATTCGCTAAGAGCTCTCTTCAATAACGAGCCTGCAAATCGAACTACCGCTCTGTCTCTCGCATCTAATTCTCGAGATTCGTCTGCTGCTATAGGATCTTCTAACCATTTTGCTAATTGTTCATAAACTTCTTCGAGTTCCGAGCAAAAATCTAAATACCACGAGATAAGTCAGATTTTGCTTGTATTTTTAGATGTTATCGATATACTTTCGTAATACTTGCCAGAATTGTATTCGGTGCTGAAACTGTATTTACTGCTAGCACTTGTATCTCTTCTTTGTAGCGTCGGTTGATTTTGTCGAAATCTGCCCAGCCATTTTTGTTCAGCTTCCAACGATTCTTTTAAAAAGTCTTCATCCACCGTTTCGTCGCGTAGAACGAAACCTCTCGAACCTCCTCTCTTTATTCTGTGATATTTTCGACGTATATTTCGATATTATATACGTATATACATACACGTATATTTATACGAATGAATTTACTCACTTAATGTCTTGATCGTAAACGTGACTCCCAGATACGCTTATTCCTACCGCATAACTACTTTCTCCAAACGAGGTATTCGACGAATCTGCTCCAGTTGTACTTTCACGTTTCAACGCATCTCTCAGGCGCTGAGCAAAAGTTGCTCTCCGCTCTGGGGTGTCTAATTGATTGCTGTAACGTTTACTTAATCTCTGCTCTTCTTCCTCTACGCGCATCGCGATAAATAAATGGCATACAGATTTCAGATTTTTTGTCAGAACAGATCGATCGAAAGTAAGTACTACATACATACCGGGATCTTCGTCTATTGTTTCCTTCGCGCTATGAAAACTATCCGTACTTTGGCTATTACAACTACTATAAATCGACATTTGACCAAGCGATTTTCGTGTAACTGGTAAAACTTCTCCGCTAGATCCAAGAACGATAAACCGATTTCTTTTATTCGTATGGCTACTGTCGTTGCTCATCTTATAAGGGCTCGGTGGTCTTACGGATTTGCCATTCGGTTTGGTACGAACTTCTGTTAAAATGTCACACACTTATTATACATACGTATTCGCGTAACATAAGTTTTCCTAAAAATACAGCTTTACGATAGCTCGACGAGTATCTTTAGGAACACTTTTGTTATACCATCGTCTTTAGTACTACCATTGTTTGCTAACGCTACTTTTCCATCCCCTTCTATCTCTGGTGGGGTGCTACTGAAGCTTTCTCCGATCGGCGATAATCTCCGAGAACCAACTGTTCCTGCATCTGGATCTAATTCTGACTTTACAGGATCGGTTGGACTGCTTGGTACGTGTCTTTGCCGAAATCCAAGTAGAGATTTATTCATTTCTCGTAGTATATTGTCTTCTTCGAATTGTGACAAAGGTAATCGTGAATAATCTTCAGGGTCGATACAGCACACCGTCACCTGTACGTGTAAATATCCAAGAAATAGTTTCGATGGTGGATAAAAAGATGGTGGAAAATGGTATGTAAAATGTACTCACGATATTTGGTTTGGTTAGTGCTTCGAATATGGCTCTGTTACGAGGATCGTTTATTCTAGATATGTGCCTAACTCCTTCGACTATTAAAACTTCGTTGTCTTCTAAAGCCTCGATTGACAATATTGCTGCGAGCATTTCAGGGTGCGTTGCTATCTGAGAATTAAATTAATAACTATAATTGTTCGTTGCTCTCCATTTCAGAAACGGTCTCTAATACATAGTTTTATTTCTTTTTTCTTTTCCTCTCATATTCTCTGTTTCTCTTTTGGAAGGCTACGATTCGAAAACTCAGATCGAAATTATTTTTCTCACGCGCTTTAATTATTTACATGTACAGTTTCTTGCGTAACATCACCATCAAGTACACCACCGCCAAATTTCGCACTCGCGAAGCAGACTCGCAATACTTTAGTTTCCGGTTCCACTCTCTCCAGGCGACCCTCGTGACGTATCATCAGCGGACACAGCGGAACGTTACTCTCCAACCAGTCCTCGATGGTTAACCATTGTTTCGACGTCATTACCTGTACATTGAATCGGTTGATTCGGACGTGAAGGAATTGGTATAAAACGATAGGTGTATTACCTGTCTGGAAATTACTAGCTTTCCATCTAGCGCGTTTTCGGTATCCAGATAATCATAGTAGCGAAATATGCTTCTCAGTTTTGCTTTTTGTCCGTTACTGAAAAAACAACAGTTAGATTTCTTCTCTAGACTTTCGATAGAATTTCCAATAGAATATCCCGTTACTTACTTGTGAAGATGTTTGAAGAAATTTGTGAAATTAAAATCCCGCAAAGTTGGATGCGTCTTCGCGGTTCTTTTCGGATACGTGGAAAAGAACGCGTTCGCGATTAAAGACGAAACAAAGGCGTAACTGTATTCGACGCAATCCCCTGGAGCGAAGATCAACGATATACATACATAAGATCGTGAATCGGCGTCAGATCAATTTCAGTTACCTTGCTGCTGAAGACTAAAGTGCAAACCTTGCGGAGGTTTACAAGACTTGAGAGCTTTTGCTCTCTCCACAATCCGCGGTATCGTGTTTGTGAATATCAGATTCCGTTCCGTGGAATCGAGATCGTTATCGAGAAACCTTCCTAATCCGACGAACAATTCTGGATCCTGAACGTCCTCTTCAGGATCGAGACTTATACTGCAAAAGAGAAAAGGAGAGGCGTGGTAAAATATGCCGGAGAGAAGAACACGTAGCAACAATTAGAGAGAGGGGGGAGAGAGAGGATTAAAAACATGGGTGACTTTTGTACAGAGAGGCATTTAACGGTTGCAATTTGGGTACATCTTGTATGGATATTTAGAAATACTTTTGATCGGATACCTTTTCAGTACGGACTGTTCCTCGTATCTTTACAACAGCATGTAGCAAAAAAATCGGGTTCGTTAATCGGGCTCGGAAAGCGAGAAAGAGCACTCTGATAGATACCGGTTAATCGAGAACTGTGTCTGTGTATCATGTTCATTTGAAATATCCCAACGCTACAATACACTTACTTGCACATGTCGTGCAGTCTTTGCATCGCATCCAGCAGATCCTCGGAATTGCTGGCAGCAGCCGCTCGGTCCAGTTGTCTTACCACGGCCGGCCACCATGGTAGGTCACAGGGTAACATTACCAGAGCCATTCTCCAATCACCGATCTAAACGAACAATCGCTAATTAGACAACTTTTCCCCTCCTCGATTTCGTTCGTTTGTTAGGTAGCTATCTGTAATTAACATCTATCGGATAACGGATAAGTGGCTGAACGTATGTACGCTAGCCAAGATTGGGACATTTGAGTGTTATACCATACAATTGTCTATGGTTAAATAGTACGATAATAATACGCTGCTGTTTCTCTAATCGTTACAACCAAATTCTTCGGTGGATTGAATTAGTAGTAGAGTAAAGTTATTTCACTCTGCGTGCCTACATTATCGAACAACCGCACAAGTAGTGCAAGTTTAAAACAAGCGCGTACATTTACGCGCCAATTGTCGCGTAAAAATAAATATTCCATAGTTATAAAATGAAACGGGGTTTTACGGGCCATGTAACTCGATATCCTTGGTCCTTGGCATAAAATCGCATAAAAACGCATAGGAACGCATAGGAATGTATATGTATAACTTCTAATCGAGAAGAACTTCAGATTCACAGCAAATATTTAGACGAGTAAAACATTCAGAGTATTGTAGATCATTTTGTAGACGAGTAACGATACATGCCTCTAATCACAGAATAATTACAATATCGATAATAGATCGAAGAAGAAACACAGGTATATATCGTACGTATATACCGGCAATTAATTTAACCAACACTTTTCCCGGTTCATTTCAAACCGTAAATATTGAAATATTAAGCACTCGATCCGCAATTCTCGTTAAGCGTTAGTCAGTTTGATCTAGTACAGGGGTGAATATATCCCCCATACGCAAGTGAAAGTTGCTGGTGCGCCTGGCGGAAGGGGTTGCGTGGTTAGTAACCTTTCGTCACGAGGACAGCATAATTAGATAGTTTCTTTTGTAGGAAGATAGAGAACTAGCCGGTGGTGAATCGGAAACGCGGTATAACACATAGGTAGTATATAGACACGACCAGCAATGTGTATCGCAAGGCACGGCTGCTCAAAACTAGAATTTACATAATCACCTAATTTGCTCGATAGGTTGTCGATCAGCTGACGCGATCACGAACCAAGTCACATCTTAAAGTGTGCCATTGCGTCAACGAGCACGTCGCATATTATTAAAGTGATGATCACTCATATAATTTTAGCGTCTTTAAAGCGTAGAAAACACCCTGCATAAAGTCGTATTCGATGATAATTCAACGGTGGTAATTCTTAACCAGACAATGTTAACGACCCTTACGATACGATACGATACGATCTGTCCACGACGGACAAATTCGACGCGCCAAATCGTCCAATTGATCGGTGATACACGATGCTCAAAAAGAACGAGAATACGTCCTCGAGTAGGTGGCACAAAGCGGCGAAAAGTACCACCGTTAACTACAATACTATCACCGTGCGCACGCGATGGCTGGCTTTCCTTTTACTTTGTCCACGAGCCACAACCGGCGGTTGGCGTTGTACGCACTATTTATAGAGCGGCGCCGGCGCCCTGCCAAACCCTATATAGAATTTTTGACAGCCAGCTTGTCTCTAATATCTTGTCCAATCTGATGACGTTACGCATCAATCATTAACATTTTTCTGCGAAAACGTTCGGCAACGTTACAACTCTCTGCTTTTCTGCACAATCGTACCAAGATAGTAACGTTGCGTTGTGCTTTAATTTCAAAAACGAATATCCGTGTATCCAGTCACAGGCAATCGTCGAAAAAGGAGGATCCTGTTTTATCGATTATTGAAAAAGAAGATAGGCTTGTTAGAATCGTAACCGTAATAATTAACGCAGCAAAGAAAAAAAAACAAAGTGATATTGTCACAATATACAACGCGAATAAAATTCTTGTCGGGAATACCGATAAATTACACTATTCTCGTTGTGACGCGTTAAATTGAAATTTAGTATTTAGACTCGAATAAGTATACGTATAAGTGTTGTGTATAATGCGTACACTTGGAAAATATTGTCGACAAATTTTCTTATCTTCGAAAAGGATTAGAAAACGTTACAACATCGTAGAAAGCACCTGATTAACGTATCAAGCAATATATTCCTCTGCGTGGATTGAAGATTTGGCTCGTTAAGCACCTAGAGATTTCAATGCCCGATAGAGAAACATTGGAATGAATTTAATTCTAATCATCGTTGAAATCACTTGTCCCTCGTTTGCCTTGTATATGTACGTAGTTACTGTTATTCATAAATCGAAAAGATGTTTGAAATCCATGTACTTATGTATGCCGTATGCACATTTGTGCATAGTAAGTATGTAGTGTATGCAGGTACACAGTACAATTTATCTTTTTTGACGCCTGTAGATATGCTACCACCTGATTACAAATCCGACAGGTGCCACCACCTTGCGGAATAATTTGCATGATTCTAGTTACTGAATTTCAGTGATGTATCAAAACGAAAGAAATAGAGAGTATTCGTCGGATTTTTCATTCTTTCGTACTGTTTCCTTAATTTATCGTAGGAAACAAAGTGTTTTTATTCGGTATTCTATCGGTGGATTAACCTATACTACTGGAATCTTAGAACATATTGCCAAGTCTGGGGCCCGAAGACAGGTAGATACATGTTCATATTCATTACAATCGTGTGTTCCAACGGTCTCGGAAAGCGATTGTGCTCGAACTGTGAGGAAGAAGGGGATTTTCATGTTAGTTCAGTGAGCTCACGCACGTCGAACAACACTCGTCGTTGCGACAACGGTGCGATCCGGAAATCTTCGACATCCAAAAATGGCGTTTCTTGCGTAGCTTACCGCCACATTAAAGTGCGTTCTGGTTTTCGATAAACGAGTGGAGCCGCTGCGCCGGTTCTTCGAAAGGAAAATCGCGTAAACCGAGGAACAGTGTTGGAGGAACGGTTTCGTGAGGCTCCGTGCTCAGGAGGTTGCTTTACAGAATAACGACGTAAATATCAGTTCACATGCCAAACATTCTTACACCTTCGATTACGCGAGTGAACGTATCAAATAGTTTGCGTTTGAAACATTTCTTTCCACAACCTTAAACCAGTCGTTCTTAGGACTCTACATTTTTCTATACTTTCTGGAATGTACTCCTTTTGCGTATTCTTTGAATAAACCTACCCCAAATCGCGCTCTTTCAACGTAGATTCCGATTGGTCAATTCATCGACTATTGACCAATCGACGGTTACTCTGACGAACGTCTAAAACTTTTTATTCCAAAAAACGAACTTTATTGCCTTTGAGAGAATTCGATCGGCTATGAAAGCCTATGATTAGGTAAACACCGAGTTGGGGTGACTCGTTTCAAATCGTTCTCGGAATTTCGATAGCCTTCGATCTCTGTTCAAATGTGCGTCGAAGGGAAAAGATTCGTAAATATGGTGAAAATGGTAGGAAAAGATCTGAATTTCGTCTACGCTAACATCTTAGGTGCAAGTGTGTAATACCGATATCTATCTGTGTCTTCTATCGAAATTTCCCACATTATGAAACATAACGAAAGAGAGGAACGTGTTTCGCTTTTTCTATTCCTACAATTAGACGATTTCCCATAATACGTCGTCGTAACTTTGTATTTTCAAATACTTAGTTCTTCTTTATTAAAAGCATCGTGCTAAGTGGAAACTATCACGGACCGAGTTGTTTCGAATGTAACAAGTGCGTATGTAGATATTGTTCGACAAGCATAGCATCAGTTTTATTCCCGCTATTTACGATGCACGTGTCTCTACAAAGTATCCGAACACGTACTTTGGACGTAACACGAAATCAAACTAATTGTATGTATGTACATATAAAGGAGCGTAGTGATTGATAGCATCGTCTGTCGAAGTGCGCCTGCTTCGGTATAAATTTTTACGCACTTACGCAAGCTTCACCGGTCGAACAAGGTTTTGAGAGAACAGTGATGTCATAACATCGCTACAGTGTAGCGTAACGAAACAGTGCCTTTGGCACGTGCAGTTGATGTCACATTAATGTATGCATCACGTTAGCAACCTAACGATGCATCGCAATTCAGCGTTCATCGTTGGAATCTTTTTATCGATTGCTGCATATTTCATCGTATATTTATTGTGCATGCTGCTACGTGCATTTCACGCTCCTTCTCCCTCTTTGTCGTCTTTTCTGTAAAATAGCCATTTTGCGGAAGGAAAATTTGAAGGAAAAATAGTGGATGAACGACAGTATTATTTCTACGCTTTCTGGTTTCCTTTCTCTCCACTGTAACTGTAAAAGATATAATGAATTCGAATCAAGTGGCGGAGCGCAGGATTTCCACTTTAAAGGATGCAAGCTGTAAGATGCATCGATGATTAGAAACGTAGCGGTGTCTGTGTCTGTGCAGGCACTTTCACCGTCAGAAATTTTTTAACCAACTAATCTTCCCGAGCAGCAACAGTGTCGCGTGATTAATTAGATGTGTATGCGTGGGAAGTGGGAAATCTGTTGCATCGTTTTTAAGAAAATTTTTCATTTTACGAGCACCACGTACATACACATCCCTTCCCTTCTTATCCTTGATCGAATCACTTAACCCGCAGTTCAGGCCCAATTATCTCCATTACATATCGCATTTTGACACGATCGTCGGTCGGAGATTATATGTATAACGTTTCGAAAAATAGGAGGGAAAATGGAATCAACGGAACAATTACGACCGGAAGAATTGGTCGGCCTGGTGGCCCGGTCAGCAGAGGGTACAGCGGCGAAAGGAATGCCTATCAAAGGGCACGAAGACCTCTGGGTGGAAATTCAGGCGAACACGTTCAGGAATTGGGTGAACGAACACTTGAAACACGCGGTGGATGCTGGAAACGGTCCTGTGATTGATCTCGTTGAAGATTTTCGGGACGGCACGCGACTCTGCGCTCTCGTCGAGGTGCTCACCAAACGACGTTTACCACGATGGAATCCCAGACCGGCTAATCAACATCATCATCTCGAGAATGTTTCTACTGCTCTTCAAGCCATCGAGGCTGACGGTGTGAAACTCGTCAACATCGGTCAGTCGATTCGTTATATTCGATTTTTCACTCTTCGCCATATATTATACGAAATACAGATTAAGTTATTAAGCCTTTCTTCGCAATTTCTTCAAACTGTATTGACCTCCAGTGGCCGGTCGGTCAGTGGTAAAATGTGAGTCGCGTGTGTGTTGCTTGCACGTACCGTGAGTCATACGACGCGACGATAAGGATAATAATTAAATGTAGATCGTTGTTTCTAGAGTATAAAACAGTATTTTATAGTATAAAAGTTGGAAGCATCCTTTGAAATATTAGCCATACCTAATGAGAAGTATACCTATTATAGATACAGTTATCTTTCGAAATAAAAAAAATATCTAGTTGGAACGTTATTACTTGCAAATCAAACTTCGAGGTCGTTGCCTTTCTTGTGTTCTATCGGCGCCTACGGGACCGTAGTCTAGAACCATTACAATTATAACAACGTGTATCCAGAAACTGATTTCTATTTTCATTTCTATCGCGTCAGTGCGCATCTTTAACTAACTGTAATATTTCAATATCTCTCTAACTATTTAAATTCGTATTTTTACGATGCGAGACGTAAGTGTAGACTGGAAGTTGACTACGTGTCGTAGTTAAATAAATTTAACGTGAAACTTGTTCTTTATAGGTAACGTAGATATCGTCAATGGAAATTTGAAACTGATCCTTGGTCTGATATGGTCGCTCATTGTAAGGTACCAAATAGGCAAGTCCAAGTTCCCTCCAAGGAAACTCATGCTCGCATGGCTCAAGGTCAGTATACGTAATTGCACGAGTAACCTTGCCGCTGATCGCAGCTGCAACCTCTGTGCAAACATATGGAAAAAATTTCTTAAACGTATACATATAACATTAAAACCTTACTATTTTATCGATTTATTTGCGCAGGCAGTCTTACCGGAATGCAGAGTCAATAACTTCACCACAGACTGGAACTCTGGTGTATATCTGAGCGCGTTGCTTGATTATTGCCAACCAGGTCTATTCCCTCAGTGGCGTCGACTTGATCATAACGATAGGTCTGTATTGTCCAAAAAAAAATATGAATTTCTTCAAAACCATTTTTCTGCCGTATACAACTTTTATTATTTACAGCGTATACAATTGCCGAAAAGCTATGGAGATTTCAAAACGCGAATTCGATATACCTATGGTACTGGAACCAGAGTACCTTGCATCTCCATATTTGGACGAACTATCAGGAATGACCTACTTATCGTACTTCATGAAGGAAGGTTCGCCGGGTTTTCACTCAACGTTACGATGGGTTAACTCGCAATTATCTCATCATCCAGTAGAAAACTTTACGGTAACCTAGTATTAGTTATTCGAAGATCATGCAACGCAGATTTTCGTTTCTTTAACAAGTTCGAATTGATTCTCAAAGACCGATTGGAACGACGGCAGAGCATTGTGCAGCATTGTCAGAAATTTGGGTGGACCTGCTCCGGCTTACGATAAAATCGATACCGATCCTTCTGCATGGGAATATAATATACAAATGGGTACGTAGCCTGGCTTTCTAGGAAAATCAATTACTTTCACATTTACGAATTATCTTACACTTTATATTTTTATGTGAAAAGGTATCGACGGAGGCAAGAAACTAGGTGTAGAGCCTATTCTTAAGGCAAAAGACATGGCAGATCAAAACGTAGAACACTTAGGCGTTATGGCGTATGCGGCGTATTTTCAATGGGTAAAGCCTCGCCCTCAAGCGAGCAAGCAAATCGTTGTCCACATTGATAGCACTTCCGCCAGAGTGCAACAACCGGTTCGTTGTTTAATTCTTACCAAACTGCTCGTTTCTTTGTCCATTGTTTTAAAGAATTTAAAGATTGTTAATTGTTCACCGTCGTTCATTATTTGTAGGCGCATTTTAAATTAGAGATTCTTACCAAAGAAGTAAATACAAGGGAAGTACGTGGTGAAGTGATAAGTCCAAGCGGTCGAATAGAATGTAGACTTACGTGGAATGGTGTACATGGGAAAGGAACATTTCTACCTACAGAAGTCGGAATGCACAAGGTTCGATTCGATAATTCTAGACGCGTTGCTCCTTGTGTTTATTAAACAGTAAATAAATGCATAAAGCTCGTTATTGTTTGCATTTCAGTTAATGGTATATAACGACGGAGAATTAGTAGATGGATGTCCCTATTATTTCAGAGTTTTACCAACCCTGACCAAAATTAAATCACCTGGTATGGATCCGTGCGCTATAGGATCTATCGTTGAAGTTCTAGTCAACAGTTACGGTAAGCATTATGCTTGAAACATAAACGTAATTAAGTTAATTACGCGTATAAAATAAACACTCTTTAGGAACTAGTCATGATGGCATTGATGTGACTGCATGGTCCCCTACTGGGAGATCTCTGTCGTGTCCTGTCAAAGAGAATGATGGAGTACACACTGCGACATTTCAACCTGACGAGACAGGTGAATGGAGTATCGCGATAACTCATAAAGGAAATCACATACAAGGTGGACCATTTACGTGCTTCGTATTTGACCCTAATGGAATAAAGGTATTATACATATATCGATCGTTTTAGTTAGACATACATGTTTTTCCTATTTGTTTCGATGAATATTACTTCTAATATTCAATTTATATTTATAGCTGTTGGATACGGAGGGTGCTATGCCCGGACAGCCTTTTTCCTTTACCGTTGATGCAACAGGAACCGGAGGTCTTGGCGATGTAATAATAGATTTAGTCCACGACAAGCAGTCCGTTCCTTTCAGAATCGAAGATTTTGGACATATGCAATATCGAGTCTCATTCGTTCCGGCAGATTCCGGAAAGTACAGAGTTTACATATACTTTAACGGTTCTGACGTTCGAGGTTCTCCGTTTTCTATTCGAGTCGGAACTCAAAAAGGATCCAGAAGATCGAAGGAATCTAGCCTCGAAAGATCAAAGTTGTCTTCGTTGGAAAGACGAATGAACGGCTTAAACGTTTCGGTTGGAACTGATCGATCGAGTCCTGTACAAAAAACATATTCTTCACCTACGTATAAAATGTCGAGCCCGACGCAACACGTACGCGAGTATTCTCCTGTACAACAGGCTACCTCTGCTTATAAAACATCGAACAATTACACGGTGGAAAACTCTAGTTCAACGTACCATGCTTCGACGGCATCCTTTAACCATACGCGATCTCCGAATCATAGCCACAGTCCTGTTTCACGAAATCTTCACAGCCCATCCATGGTCAAAGATACGAAAGAGATTTATTCTAGTACTACGTACAATCAATCGAGATCATCTCCGACTGTACAAAGCCCTAGCTTTCTGAAGGAATCGAAAGATGTTTATACGTCCAACACGATAAATAGATCTCATTCTCCGAATCCAAGTCCGACTACACATACCTCGAGATTTTCTCCGGTTATTAAGGAGTCCCGTGAAATTTACAGTTCAGGATCTCTTAAGAGATCTCAGTCACCGAATAGAAGTCCAATGGCATATCGTAGCGCAACTCAAAGCCCTGTTAATAGAAGCTTCAGTCCGAGAAATAACGACAGAGACATCAGTTATAACAGAAAAGATTGCACGGTTGATAATGCAACGGTTGATACGAGCAGTAACGTTAGAGTATCGTCTATGGTTGGCGGAACCTCTAGACGAGATTCATGGGACGCCATAGAAAAAACAAAATCTTTACTATCGTACGGTAGTTTAGAATCCCTTGCCAATCTGACCAATAATTCTGTTACCGTTGAAAACAAAAGTAACTCTACTTACTTCAACAACAATTATAAGAATACTCAGAGTTACAGTTCGAAGAATATGTCGCACACTCACAATAATTCATCTGATTTTACGTCAACTCAAAAACTTTTCGCTTCCGAGTACAACAATACATCTCAAAAATATAACAGTGAAAATCATAATGCTCGCACGCAAACACATGGGATTCTCAAAAATAAAAATAATAATTATTACAAAAGCACAGACGTCACTGATGGAGTTCACAATCGATATTTGAATAATGGGCTTTCCAGTTCGTCCGCACAAGCCAAGAATTACGGGTTTGTAACTGGAAGTGCACTTGAAATGCTACCGATTCATAAACAAGCTACCTTTACTATAGATCAAAGTATAGATCCAAATAAAGTTATCGTCACCGTCTCTGGTAAGTTTTCTTATTATATCGAATTACGGTATCTATAATACTGTTTAATTCACTTTACGAAATTCTAGGCCCAAATGGTAAAGTAATTCCGGTACAAAAATCAACTCTTCGAGGTTTAACATACACGATTATTGCCGAAGAAGTTGGGGAACATACCATTCAAATTCTAGTAAATGGTCAACATATCCAAGGCTCTCCTTTCAGGTTCGTAGACAATGAGATCGTTCATAGATATATAAAGATATAGTTATTTCATAATTGAAATTAAATCGTTCATTATTTCAGAACGCAAGCATACAACGCTCGTGCTATTCAAATTGGGAACATTCCGAATGGCGTTGCCAATCAACCAGTAGAATTTGAAAGTACGTATTGGAAAACATACACATTAATATAAAATCAGAAACATTCCAACAAATTTATATCGTTATACGTTATGTTTTTCATATTTATAGTTGACGGATCCAAAGCCGGATCTGGTAATCTAGAGATCCTCGTGAATGGTGGTCACGTAACTAGTTTTGTCAAAGCGTTAGGTAGTCAACGATTTCTGGCATCGTTTGTACCTCATGAAGCTGTTGTACACCTCGTAGAAATGACATTCAATGGTGAAGTAGTTCCTGGTAAGTCTTTCTTTTTTTATTAATATAATGAAAATTTTGTACATATATAAAGATTCAGGAAATCCATAATTTCTTGAACAGTACACCATGATGATAAAAAGAAAAAGAAAATTTTGAACATTTATCCAGTGAAAAAATTCAATCAAAATAGCTCTTTACGAAATAGCAATACCATTTGCATTTATTCAACGATTTTCCTTCCAATCTATCTTAGTGAATCAATTTTTTAAATTAAAATGCTTCATCATTTCATATAATTTTATAAACGTAATGATCAGGTAGTGGTGTATGCTTTTGAAAATTTTATTTATGGACTAAAACAAACGTTACAGTTGAAAACGAATAGTCACGTTGTACAGTATGTAATATTTATCGATGATCTGATTCGTATTTATTCAAATTTTCGTTTAGAAGTATTATTATTATTATTATACCTTCCTTATTTCTTACATTGTCTCATTTCTTCAAGTACAACTACATGCATGTATGTTCGAGTCAACAGGTCATTGATCAGGTCATTGACTTGCGATTTCACGCATCCACGTGATGTTCTACTGACACATATACGACGTCATCGTTTCCTTTCCTTCTTGAATTTTTTCCTTTCATTTACCTAACGAACCACAATGGATAGTATGCTTCTTTAAATAGTTTCCTCGTGTATTTATGTCGTGTAATTTGGTTATTTGAAAATTTTCTCTCTCATAATGTTACTTATAGATCTCTTACAATATCAATTGACATAAGATATACAAATAGTAAAACGAAAAATAGGAATGGGAAATGAGGCTTCGTTCAAGTGACATACTTTTAATTGTAATTTAATGGAGATTTGTTGACACGATCATTTATAACATTATTCATCATATATTGTGTTATATGTATATTGTATTATGAAAGTAAAACTTGAAGGTATTCGTGCTACGCCATTGCGCATGTATGAAGAATATTATTTAGATGCTATGTAGAGAAGTGCATTCTGCAATCATGATTGCACGTTGCACGTGTCCTACAATACCGCAAAGAAGTTTGCCGGAACACTGTTCCGCTCTTGTCTCGAACATTAACACCCCAATAATTAATTACGGTTTTCTCAAACAAAACACAATTAACTTTAAAAAAATTCGAGAAAATAATATGTATATATTTTTTTTGTTTTCGTAAGTAATAAGATTCCTATAACGTGTATCAAGCTTTAGGAAATAAAGTCTTACGTTGCCTAAATTATTCTTAAGTAAATTATACTCAAATAAACTCTATCGTACGTATATCCTGAATACTTTCTAAACGGTGTTTATTAGGCTAAGTTTGCATAATATTCATAGATTATTATCTGAAAAGGAATATCATAGAGACCGTAGGTGTGGTCACTAAAGTCTTTGTGTGCTTGTAGACGTATTTGGTTAGGAACGGAGATAGTCGATCCCTGCCTACATAAGTATGTAATGTAGGTACGCATAAACGTAATCCATGTAACTGCACATGCCATCTTATAATTACATTTGCAGATTTTCACGTAATATCGTGTCTTGTTTCTCGTACGTAATATTAATTGTACGAAACGATGTAAATAAGAATTATCGTTTCATCAGACAAAATAGGTTCGATAGTAACGTGTGGGTGTCCTTTAATTTGTTAACGTGTTTAAGTAACAAAATTGTTGTAATTCGTACAACTATAATCCCGTTTTTCTATGACCAAATGAAAAGTCGAACAAGCCCTGCACCGTTATTATTTATCAAGGAAGAAATGTTTGCGGTTGTTTCGATTTGAAGACACCACGCAGAATAACTCACGGCTTGGCGACATGTGGAATGCGTTTCTATACACTTGACAGCATTAGACAGGATAATGCCAATTTCTCTGTTTCACTAGTTTCATCTTCTCGTTCAAATGTGAAAAAGCATATACCCATTTGTAGTACATATAATTACAATGTTTACGCGCAGATGATGCGCAAATTACCGTAACGGTCGATGAGAATACATATTAACCATGAAAATCTCGATTAGATATTAATAATTTATACCACAACAGGAAAATTGATGCATTTACGTAGCAAAAGCTGCTATACTGCATTTTTATGTAACATTATTCCTCCTTTCGATAGTATGCATAAATACATATACGTATTGGATTCGATTGATCCCAATTTGTTCTTGCATGCGTTACGATGCACCCATTTTAAAACTAATACGTATTTGCTTTCTTGAAATCTGTTTCGTTAATTTTATAATTCATATGAATCATACGTTGGATACATTTGATAATGCGAGAGAAATTTTTGAAAATTTCGGAACAAGGTTCCTCCTATATGACCCGTTATGTTGAGGAATGCAGCGATTCATGAACCATAGTCTCTTCGATGTAACTCTCGTTGTTAAGAATGTAGCGCAAAGCAATTCGGAATGAAAAAAAAGCAGTGACTTAATGATATCAATGGCGTAGACTAAGACGTGTTCAGAGAATCAAATATTTTCAATGAATCCAGAAGCACATTGTTGTCTTTTTTACTGCTTACAATTAATTATGTCAAACTGGTAGTAACATTACACGATCGAGAAAAAGGAATGAAAATATAAAGTTACCAATGCACAAGAAACTATAGTTTTCTCCGACCCTGTTCCATGGAAAAACCGAAGTTGAACGTTGTGGAATTCTAATGCATGAAAGCCACATTCCTTGTACACATCCAACTGTTCCGCTTTGACATTCGTTTAGCGTAGTAGATCGAACTGCATAAAAATGCAATCGTTAAATACAAACGGGATCGATGAAATATTGCACTTTTTTTATTTTCTGTCGAGTATTAATAATCATCAGCTATTTTCTAATGTACAGAATCACACCTTTTCCTTGATTATTTTCAAGTAATTTCGTATTGAATGCAAACAGTGAGGTTTCTATTTGCGGTCGACCTTAAAGTATCGAAATACGCAGATCAGGTATCCTGTGAACGTGTAGACTGTAGCCGGTCGAACGAGCAAGAAACGGATGGGAGAACATAAACGTATCGTGTTCCTTTGAAGCCCCGTTCCAATTTATATCGTAAAATCAATTTGAAAATTAAATTTAAATATGAAAATTATTGCAATCCGTACCTGAAATAAACTAGTTGGCTCAAATTATAATTCTTTTTTCTCCGAGTTCTAATTTAACGCGTCTTCTCGCTATGCATATTTATAATAAACGTTGATATAAACTGCAACGTTGTACAACAACGGCAAAGTTAGTTTACAAATATATTGCACACATGATACCGATTCTTCACTTCAATATTGGTTGTCCCAATTGAATTGCCATAATTGAAATAGTAATAACATGCCTTCGAATAAAGACGAGAAACACAGTTTTTCAATGAAATATCGTTAAATAGTGAAAAAGGGTGAATGAAAATGAATCTCAAGTAAAGATAAAACAGAAAATTCTGATATTAAATTGTGGATCGTATTCCAAGAAAAACACGGCCCTGGTTTTGGGCCTGAGCAGCAACCCAGTAGTGGCAACTACACTCGTCCCGTCGCTCGACTCGTTTCAGTCTGTCGTGAATCGTGATCTGCTGACGTTTCTTTATCAGGAAACCGAAGCTATAAAATCCTTCGGTCTTCTCGATCGTTCGATTCTTCACCCTCTCTGTTTTTGTACTTTTTAAATCGTATCGAAATGGATTGCCAAGAGGGTCGTTCGCGATTAGTATTCGATGAAGAACATCGAATAACCATAATTGAATTAGTGCGCGTGCGACTGTGAAAACACTTGATATCTGTTCTTCGTACTTATGGCCGTGATCGAAGTGTATTCCATAATGGATCTTTATTATTGATCGATAGATTCGATTCGTGTGTTTCACTCCTTTTCTTGCAAGTTTAGTTTATCTATAACGTAATTAAATTCTACATTTTTCCTTTTAAGGTTTTCAGCGTTTTTCAGGTTTGTTACTTTGAAATAGAAGGTGGTGAAGGTAATTCATTTTTTTGTGTCTTCCTTCAAATACAACGAATGTCAATTTTCCTTTCATTCAATTCGACAAACCTCATTCTGTAAACTTTCCCGCGGTGGTGACGAAAGTTATTTTCTTCTGTGTTTTGCGCCTGCCCTTATATTAGTTACGAAAGTTAAAAAGCATCCGACTGAAGTCACATTACACTTCCGGAATGTTAAAATTTTATTCAAAGTGCTATAATTACAAATAGATTTCTCTCTTATTTAAAATTGATTACCATCAATTGATCATATTAAAATTGATAAACAGCACATATTAAGTATAAGCAATGGTTTAACTTATACCTTAAATTTTATGTTCATTAATTAAGTAATCCTTGTACTATTTTATACCTATAATTAATATGTGATAAAATTATAAATTAACAGGATCACCTTGGCGTGTGGGCATTATGCCAGCCCCAAAAATGTCAGTGATTGGGGATTCCATAAGGTTGGTCCCTGCCGGTAGTCCAGCCCTTTTTGAACTGTCTGCTCTTGGCTTTAATAGTAATGAAATTGATGTACAAATTATAAGTATGTATCTACAGTTTATTACACGTGTTATAAGTGAAATTATGTGTGTAGACATTAATGCTTTGTTACAAAAATGTAATACTTGTTTCTAGCACCTTCTAAGAGAAACACACCTGCAAGAATTGATGAAGAGCCAGGTAGACCTGGAGAATTTCGTGTTGAATTTACTCCAGTAGAAGTAGGCAGTCATCTTGTAGAAGTAACCATCGCGGGACAGAAGCTACCGGCAGGACCTCTAGTTGCTAAGGTGTACAACAGCAGTTTGATACAAGTTACTGACGTACCCAGTGCTGTAGTAGGACATGCCTGCCAATTTAGAGGTACTGAAAAATAATAAATTAGAAAAGAAAAAGTATGAAAATAAGGAATACAAATTTATGTACATATATTACTTTTGCAGTTGATGCTAGTGCTGCTGGTGAAGGACAACTTGAAATTTCTATAAATGAAGGGGAAGTACCCAATCATGTTCAAGTAGTAGGAGGAGGACGCTGTCTTGTCTCTTTTACACCTGAAATTGCAAAACCACATTACATTGATATAAAATTCAATGGAGAAGCAGTGAAAGGCTGTCCCTTTATTTGTAATGTATCTGATACCAGTAGAGTAACATTAAGTTTAAGTCATCTGGAATTAATTCCAGTAGATCAACCTGCTAGTTTTCATATGGGAGTTGATGGTAGTGGTAGTGCAGAACTTGCAGTTTCTGTAAGAGGTCAGTAAAAACATCATACATTATAATTTCTTTAATAATACGAAACTCGCCAGAAAAGTGTATTTTTTAGGACCAAATAGTGAATTACCTGTAAAAGTAACTGGAGATATAAAGAGTGGTTTTACTGCAGAATTTATTCCAAGAGATGTCGGTGTCCATTCAATTAGTGTTGAATATAATGGTCACCCTGTAAATGGCACACCATTCTTAGCTAAGGCATTCAATGCAGATAAAGTATTAATAGGTCCTGTAGCTAGGGGTAGTGTTGGCCAACCAACACACTTCACCGGTATGTATAGGAAAAGATTTACATACCATACTTCATGTCCAATTTCTAATTTTTCTCTAAAAATCATTCTAAAATTTGTATTATCTTGTTATGTATTTGTATTATCTTTGATAGTCGATGCAAGTCAAGCTGGTGAAGGAAACTTAGAAATTACGATATCAGCTCGTAGTCAGAACATACCTACTCAAGTCACGCCGCAGGGAAATGCACGATTTTCAGTTAGTTTCGTACCATTTGAGGCGTGTGAACACATAATTAATATAGCCTTCAACAAACGTACAGTACCAGGTTGCCCGATTTTAACTCGGGTAGGTGGTGATAGTCATGTAACAGTGAGTGGGCAGGCATTAAGCAGTGCTGGATTAGGACGACAAAGTTATCTTACCGTCAGTAATGTTGCCGGTAGCTTGGAGGATTTAGAAGTTAATGTTGAAGGTACATATGTTTTTTGTAATTGATATCTTTCACAATTTTTACTTTAATTTTATGTTAATACTTGTATGCAGCATGTGTATCTTTCAATTCAAAGGCGTGTCTCTATTATCGCACGGAAGTCACATTCTTCATAGCGACATCATATTCTGTGTTCGATGTTCTTTTATACTTCACTTCAATTGAATGTTACAAAGTTTTTGCAACTTATGCACTACGGTTTTGCCGACGACCGGAAATATATATGTGTATATATGCATTATATATACGTATAAGCACCTTCTATGTTGTATTTATAACTTTCATAATAAATTTCTGATGTTTCGTTAGATTTGTCAGTAATCGTTCAATAAATTTTGTGTGTTAATTACGGTGGAAACTTGCACGAAGTTCTACCTCTGTGTTTGTCTGTCTTGTTAATCTCTAGCTTGAGAGCCATTCTCTCTTTGTTGCAGGTCGGCCACCTTTCAGACTACGACATTACTAGACTTCTCAAACAAAACTAATCTCATTCTTATCTTAATAATGGAGTATATGAAATAACTGGTGGTGGGTTTCTAACTTGACATCTCCTAAAATTGTCACATAGAGATAGTATATCTCATGTTGCTCTCATGTTCTTTTTTCACTGGTTACCACCTTAGAGTATTATAAGGGCGTCGGTTCTATTTTCATTTACGATTGTCGAAGCGGTGACTAACACATCGCAATTTTAGTTTCAAGTGCTAAATCAAAGTAAGACATACTATACGCGTGATAGCCATGAATATCGTGGTGCTATATAAACGTTATTAATTTTATCGTAATTTGTAAGCATTAGCACATACATAGATTTTGTATTTAAGACTTTATAGATCGCTTCTACAAATGTGCCAATATTATCATTTACTTAAATAGTACATATTTAACTATTAATTATGACGAATGAATAATGCAAAAATCGATCTCTAATGGTTTCTGTTTCTTCAGTCTTCGTACATTTTGCTTCAGTTGTTTCCTTCATATAACTTTATAACAACATACAGTAATAGATATTAGCTAACCATTAATCTGACATTAATTACTAGATGATATAAGCATACTAATACATTAGTGAATTCACATTTATGCATCACTAGTGGTCAATTCATATTTATCGCTTTCTACAATTAGACATTGCTTATTATAATTAAAAACCTTAACAATGAAAGAGAACTTGTTGAGCGCGCATACACCCCCTACTGTTCACTTTTGGTGTCCTTGTGATCCACTCTAGTAGTTGGCTGACTAAATTGTATTAAACAACTAACCGGCGGACTTGATAGGACCCAACGGACAGGCCGTACCCGCTCAAGTCACTGACAACAAAGACACAACGTGCAGCGTAGCATTTACACCAAGAGTTGTCGGAGAGCATAGAATTTCGGTAAGCCATCGGAATGTTCCCGTGATTGGTAGCCCATTTAGCTGCAAAGTGTATGACGTGACTGCTATCAAAGTAAAGGATGCGAAACATGGTGTTATTGGAATACCTGTAACTTTCTTAGGTATTATTCTTAACAATTCAAGCTAACAAGTTAATTACACGCACACACAAATACACACACACACGCGCGCGCGCGCGCACACACACACACACACACACACACACACACACACACATATGTTTATTGGATTTTTCACTTTTCCTTCTTAGTTGAAACCAGTCAGGCAGGCCCAGGAAACTTAGAAGTGACGGTAAACGGTGGTCGTGTACCTACATCTGCTCAAGCTCAAGGTCCGCACACGTACGCGATATCTTTCACACCTCGTGAGCCAATTGTACATACCGTGGATTTAAGGTTTAATGGAGAAGATGTACCTGGTAGTCCCTTTAGTTGTCAGGTATTATATTATCGTTTCCACTATAATATATGCTTTTAGAAAAGCAGTTTTTAACGGTAGTTAATTTCTTATTAGGTAAGCGACACAGCCAAAGTAATAGTGACTGAAGGGCTCGAAAAAGTATCTGTGAATCGGCTGACAACATTTACAATAGAAGCAGATGCTTCCTTGGGAACTCCTACTGTAGAAGTTCTCTCACCAACTAGAGAAAGTTTACTCGTTAATGTTAAACTAAGTGGACATGGCTGTTACGCTGCAGGATTCACACCTAAAGATGTTGGTATGTGAATAAATAAAAGCCGATAATAATTATAGGAATATTTTTTTTAAATATAAAAAAATCATAGGTGATCATAGTGTCGAAGTAAGAATAAGTGGATCGCATGTGGAGGGCAGTCCGTTCTTGGTAAAAGCTTACAATGCCGATAAAGTAAAAGTAACAGATATAAATAGCGGTGTTGTTGGTAAACCAGTCTTCTTTAGCAGTAAGTCAAATTGTTCAATTTTACTTTCAACATTTATTTATTATATTTTATTTTATTTTTTTATATGCTTTCATTTTAGTCAATGCTAGTCAAGCAGGTGCTGGTAATCTTGAAATAATTGTTGCCGTTAATGGTAAAAACGTACCGAATTATGTACAAAGCGAAGGAAATGCAAAGTTTAGAGTTAATTTCAAACCACAAGAAGCTGCTGTACACAGTCTTAGTGTTCGTTTTAACGGAGAACCTGTTCCAGGTATGTAGCAATGATATGTATATAACAGTTGCGTTTTAAATACATAATTTTGAATTGTAACTTTTATCTGATAGTTTAATTAACGCTTCGTTTTTAGGTTCACCATTCAGCTGTAAAGTAGTTGGCGCAGGTCAAGCTCTAATTACGGGTCATAATTTAAAAATGGGAGCTGTAAAGCAATTAATATCCTTCATCGTGGATCCACAAGCTCCTTCAATAAATTGCGATGTAATCGCAACACCTCCGTCCAATATATCTCTTCCTATTACAATAGAACCTGTGGATGGAAAATATAATGCCAGCTTCGTGCCTTTGGAAGTGGGCAGGCATAATATTAGCGTATTAGTGGACAACGAACACGTAAAAGGTTCTCCATTTGCTTGCAATGTTTACGACGTTACAAAGGTAATTCAAGATGCTGAGAAACACCTTGTTCTTTGACGGTCTTCAACTTAAGCTTACTGAATATTGATACAGGTTCACGTATCGGGTCTTACGGAAGCACTACTGGGTCAAGCAACGACATTCACAGTTGACGCTGCAGAAGCTGGTGAAGGTACATTGGAACTAGTAGTGAGCACGGAGAATAATACAGTTAAAGCTGAAGTAGTTGCCTGTGCTCGGGGATTATACGACGTAACATTTGTTCCTCAAACCACTAGTACTCATTACGTGAATATTAGTTTCAACGACGACAATGTACCAGGTCTGTAGTATTATACTTTTTTTGTTTTTTTATTAATTAATACTTACGAAAAGTTAGTAACACAATTGCGGTTGTACATTAGGCAGTCCATTTAAATGCCCAGTAGTTAGTACGATGCTGGATGGACCATCTATGATTCGTGTTGGTAACACAGCGTACATGGATTTAGAAATGCCAGGATTGGAAGGTCCGGTATCTGCAGAAGTTACGGGTAAGCTTATGGTTTATGTAAAAAAATTTTTTTCTCACGCTTTGCAACGTTATCTTTTAACTGCATATGCAATGCAGGCCCTGATGGTATAATCATCCCGTGCACGTTGACAAAGTTATCGCCTAATTTATATCGAGTGGAAATTCGAACGCGGCAAGTTGGCACTTATAGCGTAATATTCAGCGATGGTCACAAAGTGATCAGTTCTCAAACACTTCAGGCTTTCGATCCTGGGAAAGTAACAATTAAAGAAGTATCAGATGTAGTTTGTCATCGACCGGGAACCATTATAGGTAGTATGACGTGTAAAATATAATTTTATATACACATTTCTGAAGGTATATATAAAATATTGCAAACAATTATTTAAAATTCTTTCGTAGTGGTTGCACCGAAAGAGGCCGGGCCTGGAAAATTGAACGTAAATGTACGCGCCGCCGGGGCTGACGTTGATAGTGTAGTCAGAGAAGGAGAAAATGGTCACTATGAAATAATGTTTCATCCTACACGAGCAGCTCCCCATAAGATCCACATAAAATATAACGAAGTTCACATAACGGGTATAATATTTATCGCTGATTTTCATAATTATTACCATGCTCTTGTTTTGCCTGATTTTATTGTAATTTCGTTCTATGATTTTATTCTAGGAAGTCCAGTGGATGTAACGGTTCGTGGTCCTACTGGAGGAAGAGAAGTAACTGCAACAGGATTAGGGTTGTACCAATCATGTGTTGGCAAAGTGACTTCATTTACTATTGAAACGTTAGGGCGTCCTGGAAAAGAATTTGATGTTGTAATTAGCGGACCTCAAGGTAATGCAGTTCCAGTGCGGTGTTACCAACATCGAGATGGAAATTTGCTTGCTGAATTTACAACAAGCACTGTTGGTATGTAATAATATCACAGAAATAAAATATCAGTAATAGTATTGTGTTTAATGATTAAAGTGTTTGATCAGGAACCTATAAGATCGATGTACTGCAAGGTACGAAACCAGTTTTGGGTTCCCCTTTCTTTTGCCAAGCGTTCGACGTGTCCAAAGTGAAACTGCAGGAACTGGGTCCAATGACAGTATCTGTACATGATCATATCGCGTTTAAAAGTACGTGTATCAAAATATGTATTACCTTTTTGTTTTTTAAAATGAAATAACACTTTCACTACAATTATAATTACGAATTGTTATAGTAATGAAAACAGATGCTGGAATGGCGGATTTGGACGTAGTTTCAACAAGTCCGTTAGGTCAAGAGCTTCCATTACAAGTAACTCCGCTGAATGACGGTGCTGAAATGGTTGAATTTTCTCCCAGTGTACCTGGTACATATATGATTAACATTACGTACGGTAAGATTAATAGACACATTACGTATAGGCTTCATTGCTGGAATTATTTTTTATCACGACTTTATATCTAGGAGGGTGTTCCATACCCGGCAGCCCGTTAATGTGTACAGTTGATGCAGCTGGACAAGCTCGTGCAAAAGGAGAAGGTTTATTAAGTGGCCACGTAGATAAACCTGCGCATTTTATTGTTACTGGCACAAGAAGTCCTCCAGCAGTTCAGGTACCTACGAAAGAATTAACACTTTGTTTAATCGGCATCTTTAAAATTGATCGTATCGCGTTTTTGTAAGGTACGTTTGTATTGCTTGGCAGGTGGATGGCCCTGATAGCGTTTCGAAAGCGATTATAGAAGCCGGAGCTAATCCAGGCACTTGGAACGTGTCCTATGTTCCAAACGAAGTTGGAGTGTTCGATATTAGAGTTGTTTCTGCTGGGCAACAGCTACCAGGATCTCCTTGGCATCCAAAAATTATAGATTCGCGAAATCTTCGTGTAATCGGTAAATAATACTTAAAAAAATATACATACATTAGTTTTTAGAAATATTTTCTTTATTTTTCTAAGGTGGCTGGCCAGCTGTGTGCGACGATATCGGACGGTTGAAGTTACATCCATCGAATAAAATCAGTTTTGATACTGCGGAAGCTGGGCCTGGTGAGCTAACTGGGAAAATAGGAGATCATATATTATCCTTTGAAATGACTTCAAATAATAGACTGAAACTCAGTCCACCACAATTAAACGGTGGGGAGCATCGTTTTGAAATATTTTTCAACGGAATACCATTCCCGGGAGCTCCGAAGCTAGCAATTGTACAGGATTTAGAGGTATTCGAGTGTACGAGATGGAGTTTACATTCCAAAGATTGAAGAAAATCAGTTCTATTTTTGATTTTTAGCCGCCCATACAAGACACAAGCCGTGTCTTGCTGAGAGGAAGAGGATTAACAACAGCGAAATGCGGAGAAGAAGTTAGTTTCACGATAGACGGTTCTCAAGCTGGTACAGGAACGCCAAAAGTTCAACTGTTTTCACCAACTAACGAACTGAATGTGGTGTTACAGCATTTAGGTAAATAACAAATATTTTTAATAGCCGGAATTTTCTCACACAAGTTATTAACTCATTGTGCACAGGAGATAGCGTTTACCGGGCAAGTTACATACCATTGACACCTGATCCCCTTTTAATGACTGTGTCTTGGAATGGGAGACAGTTAAAAGGATGTCCTTTACAAATCAATGTAACGAGTGCAGCCGACGCATCGCGAGTCATTTGCTCTGGCGATGGATTGAAGCATGGTATAGTTGGACAAGAAATAAGAAGTTTTATCGATACAAGGCGCGCTGGTCCTGGTACGTGTTTCCGCATTAATATCGTATATTTGTTATTTATTAGTATACATTAAAAGGAAATATTTTTCGATACTAGGTGAATTAACAGCACATTGCGTCGGCCCCCATAAAGTGGCTTATTGCGAATTATACGATCATGGTGATGCAACGTTTACGTTGAATGTAAAACCTCAAGAGGCTGGACGACATGCGTTAACGATCAAATATGCCGGAGAACACGTTCCAGGCTCTCCTTTTACGTTACGCGTTTCCGGAGCTCCCGATGCTTCGAAGGTAATTTAAAATTTCTATTATGCCCCCCCCCAATCGCGAAACTTTTTCTGAGAAACAAGTATCGAAAAATGTTTATCACACGATAGGTTCGAGTTTACGGACCAGGAATTGAGCATGGAGTATTGGCAACGTTTCAATCACGTTTCATTTGCGATACTCGTGGTGCCGGAGCCGGTCAGCTTACGGTGAGAGTTCGGGGACCTAAAGGAGCGTTTAGAGTAGAAATGCAGAGGGAGACTCAAAAGGATCGTATAATACTTTGCCGATACGATCCAACGGAACCAGGCGATTACAGAGTCGAAGTTCGTTGGGCAGGCGTTCTCGTACCTGGTTCTCCATTTCCTGTTAAAATTGTCGACACACAGGATGAATTATTAATGTTAGCACAGGTAAAGTCGAAACAATAAATAAACGTAAAGGTTAAGGGGATGATATGAACGGTATCGGGAACGATATATAAACATCAAAAATGTATTCTTTTAATTGACTTTAGAGCGACAATTATTCAACGGGACATCATACTATCGCATCGTGGCGTGGATCACAAGCTATATTATAAGAAAATTGCATATAAAGTTGT